GAGAGGTTTCGCATGCTCTGTTTCTGCTCCTCGTTTTTCTATAAAATTTAATTTTTCTATATTGACACAATCGAAATATCTAATGATCGATGGCTGATCCATCACTAAGAATCGCTCATCCCCCCATGCAAAATGATCAGTAATGACTTATATGTTTATGCTCACCGTAAAAATATATCCTACTCCAGAAGCTTTTGGAACTTGAACACCCATGAGATCATCAATTTGAGCGACGAGCACATGAACTGCAGCCCCTGAATGGAAACGAATGCCATAGAGTTTTAAGCTATGTAGACCATTTTTTAGGTAGGTGATGGATTTCTAAATCTTGCAATTTCTTCATTTCTTCTCCTTTTTTCTCACGTTTTCCTTTTTCTTTGCTATTTTATTGCTGAAAGGATAATGTAAATCAGATGCATTCATTCATTTGAAGAGAAAAATAGCAAACACTCAATTGAAAGACTCGTCAATCCTATTTTTCTGAAAGATTTTGCCATCAACAATTGCTTCTTCCTGCATTTCTGGCAAAAGCTAGAGCCAGCGTCAGTGAACCCCCCCCCCCCTCCTCCCAGGGTCCACCGCTTAGGATTTCTAAAAATCGAGCATAATTCTTTCTTTGTGCTTTATGGATTCCAGATCTCATTCTGAGTCTTCTCTCTTGTTATTATGGCCTCCCAAAAGTCGATTGGTCAGATGGTAGATGATTTCCCCTTCCCTGGTAGTGTTTACCTTGTGATCGAAGTTTTGAAGAGAGGATATCGGTCCTGAATCGAATTCTTAAACTGCCTTTCAACCACACGAACACCAGTTTTCTTATTAAAAGGCAGTGCCACCGCACCAGTACCAGTCTCGAACGGCCGAAAGGCATGTTGGAATCCAAAGAACAAGGAGACAATTTCTACTTTTTTGATGTTTTCTGATGTCTCGACCAGTTCCTTAACGACCTGTATTTTACGAGGGGAATCGAGTATTGAATTAAGCGAATTTGTCCTTCTGAATGATTTAAGTACCTATCATTGGAAGGTGAATGAGCTGTCCGGGAAAAAGAAAGGGAACAAAAAGAAAGATGTTCGATCCCATGACTGTATTCTGACGTAACACGCTGAACAATATTGAAATTAGAGAGCTGAGAATATATTTGATATTATATTATAATTATACACATTTCGATATCATATTATATGATATCAAAAAGGAGATTATATAGTGGCAAGTGGCGCACTTCACACAGGTATGGTCACGGGCTCGAATCCTTAATCGATGTCCACCAAGACCAATCAAACCTTCCGTTCCTCCGGGGTCGGGGAATTGGTAACAGACTCGTCTGGGAGGATACAAGCACAGAATTGTTCATCGGCTGGCCGATGCAACTCATTGCATAGGCCACATACGCCTTCAATACGCCACTACGATTCTGGATGGAAGTCGACTGTGGAGCGCATTCCAAATACAGGGCGAAAATACTTCTCAGACATTATTGTATGGTATTATGATGGAATAAGGTTTACGTAAAGGCGAAAAGCTGAAGGAACTTACCGGTAGTGAACCCAGAAACCAGTGGGTCGGAGAAGTACGTCATAAGGAACTGGAGCCGAAGTAGAGCACAAAGGATCTGAAAGTTATCTACAAGGTAACCACGGTCAACCAATTGGACAAATTACCGCCAACCTGCCAGATTCCAATGGCGAAGGTGAGGGTGGTGGCGATCTGGATTGGTGTGACAGCGTAGTGAACGGCTACATCGAAATGAGTCTGATTTTGGATTAATTCCACTTTTCCGCCAACATGTGATGCAAAAACTTTGTCATTGGCCACACCAGCCATCAAAGCGACGACTGCGAAAGAGCCTGAAACAGCTGACCTAATGGATTCCGTCACCTTTCTGATTTCTGAATGACTACGACCGATTTCTGATGGTTCTTTGTCAGCCTCGGATTCTGGTAAAGATCTGAATGTGTATCCTTAAAGGGTTTGTGAGCAGTAAAAGCAAGAGGTCACCGGCCAGAGATGGATAGTGCGCCATGCAATTGAATTCCTTTGAGAACACTGCTCGTAGATCTAACTTAGTCTACAAGGTAAGCTGTCTCCCAGTACCTCCTTCCAGTGTGGAGATAGGGCAGAACGTATGTATTCTACCATAGCTCAGGAGTTTAATATATGTATGCCCAGAAACCGTTGTAGTCAAGCTGACCATGCATGGCCTTTTCGAGACATTGCTATGGCCTTTCAAATGCCAGTGAGGCTCAGAATGAAAATTGTTCCCGCGGCGCATCCCCGCTAAGAAGCTCCGGTCACTTTTGTTGGAATTCCAAGCCTTTTTTACTCTTTCTCCACTTTCTCCGCTTTCTTGAACAATGTATTTATCACTATTCTTTTCTCCTTCCAGCTTTTTATTTGAGGGACCACTTGGGATTGATCAACTGCATGAGGAGACCCACCGACTTCCTCACTCTCAATGAGTTTGATCTGCAAATCAACCCGGCAATGCACTTAAGAATCATTCTAGACAAATTCCACACTTTGTTTTTCTTCCAGAAGATCTCAACCAGGACTGCGAGAAAGTGCTCAAACTTCACTCCCTTTTGGAAATCATTGAAAAGACAATAATGGTTCTCCCTGCCTTCCAGCTGAGTAACGTTTACACTTCATTTAGCTTCTTCTCCCTACAAGCCTCCAGGCAGTATTGCTCTTTGGCATCAGGAACGACTAGGTCGTTGATGCCTATGTTCGGAGAGATTAAACGCAATTACTGGAAAGATCGCAAGAGAATGACGATCATCAACGGGATGCCATTCAGATGAATGAGTGGTTCAACTAGTAAGCGCAAGTAGTTATGGGGCACACTGCACATCAGATTATTAATCAAATGGGTGTCCGAATGAATGCCAACTTCCTCGTTCACTAATCCAGAGAAATGCAATTCGTAATAAGAGATAATAGCAGATAAAGGATGCTTAATACCTTCTTGGTGATAGGGCTCTGTTCTCATTTACAGGGTGCACTTTGATGGGCCATTTGTCTACTGAGTATTAGGGGTCAGCTCATTTCAAAATCAGCAGTTTCTCCTGAGCAAATCCTAATAGG